CCGCCTTCTTTCTCCCAGATCCAAAAGCTGTCAAGCTGCGCCGACTAGATCCAAACGTTGTCGCCGCACTGCTCTAGCCAGATCTAAACACTACTGCTGCTGCACTGCCCCAACAAGATCTGAATGCTGCCGCCACCTTCGTTCTCCCAAATTCGAAAGCTGTTGTCGTCACTCTACTCTCAGATCTGAAGCTTATCACACCGCCCTTAGTTCATTCTCGAGGTCTGTTACCCACACCCTTCACGAAATCGCGTGGGGATCTCATTTTATCACGAGAGAAAACAAGGTGATGAACAGCGAAATGCTAGTTCTCTATTTCTAGGAAAAAAAATTAAATCCCTCTAAAATTTCACTTAAATCTTCAGTAGAATGCCTTTCCGCACCACTTTGCAAAGTGACGATGGTGCTACACCTCTCGGTAATTTTGTTAGGTCTTCTTTTTGCTACCTATCAATATCGATATCTTGATATGTCTACTTGTGAGATTATTTTAGTTGTGGCATGTGGTAAACTTATTATGGTTTTCTTTTTTCAGTGTTTGATTGTTGCTTCTTCACGGAAGTGGTGCAAGAAGAAGAATAGAAGGTCTATTTGGATGCCATTGTAGCACAGTTACAGAAAAACTTTCATGATGCTTCTTTCATGGTTTTTAACTTTAGAAAAGGTGAAAGGCGAAGCCAAATTCCTACTGTATGACTTATTCTCTCGTATTAGCCATATTAGAATTGCATAGGTGTTCACAAAGAATTGTCACGAAAAACATGAATCACATGGAATGAGCACCATTTAATGTTTTTTTAACAAGGAAGTATGAAAAGATAAAGATGTAATCAAAACCGTTCAATTTATATTTATAGGGAGTGACTATTATCTTCTTCTATATTTGTCTTCACTTTTTGAACTTAATGGCCTAAATTTGTAGACGGAGTTTACCGCTTCAATTGAGTTGGAAATCTTCATTTCCATTATCAATTGAGGAATTGCAAGACGACCACATTTGTTGCACATGATACTTTCGATATTTGGTTTATATTTAGCAAAAATGGTTTCCTACTTTATCATGTGAATTATTTATGTTTAAAAGAAATTTGGTATTTACATGTTAAGTTTTTTGTCATGTTATTATTATTATTTTTTTTTTGAAGTAGGATAAAAGTCAGAGAAACTTTTTTTTTGGGCAAGCAAACAACTTTCATCTAGCCGTTCTTTGTTTACTAGTTTATATTTGTCATAATTTTGAGAAGCTTTACAACTGGTTTACTCTCAAATTTGATGATATTTTGATTTAAGAGGCCAGTCATTTTTTATTCCTAACATCTGATCTTTGATTAGCTTTCTTAAATGTGCAACAGTTTGAAAAGTGCAGACCATAACATTGGGGTTGAAACTTCAATGTCCACCCTAGTACTAAGCAAGCACATAATAGTTATCTCTATCATCAAAAGCTTATGTGTTATTTTTCCTCAAGTTTGTACTTCTTTACTTGCACTATTTGGTTTTTGATTCTCATGTGGTTTTCTTTTCATCTAATCTGGATTTCATTTTATCGTTACCTAATTGACTACTATTGCATCATGTTCTAGTTTTGCTTCATAATATTTGCTGATAAACTATACTTTTATGGTTGTTTCTTTCGGATTAGTATTTTCATTTAGCATTAGACTCCTTTTGTAAACATTTCTGGGATCCCTTTCCAAAAATAAAAAATAAAAAACATTACTAGGATAATAGTAAATCTTTGTTGTTGATTTTTGAAAATTTCCACGTATGTAATATTTCATTCCTTCTACCTCTGTTCTGACAAGTCACGAACACTGAACTTGTTTAATTTAATTGGCTCTCTTGTAAGCTTGATTCTCATGATTGCATTGGTGTAACAACTTACACTAATTTTTTTTATT